ATGAGCAGGAAGGCATAGCACAAGCCAAGACAGGCAGAGAGCTAGGCCTCTTGCGCCAGTCAAGCTGTGAATGCAAAGGAAAAGGTCTTGAAGGAAATTAAAAGTGCTACTTTTAAAAAAGTAAAAAAAAAAAAAAAAAAAAGAAAAAGAAAGTGAACAGATGAATAATAAGAAAGAAAAACATCTTTATTGCTGATATGGAAAAAGTTTTAGTGGTCTGAATAGAGTATCAAACCAGCCAGAGTATTCCCTTAAGCCAAAGCCTGATCCAGAACAAGGTCTCAACTCTCTACAATTCTATAAAAGCTGAAAGAGGTGGGGAAGTGGCTAAAGAAAACTTTGAAGCTAGCAGGGGCTGCTTCATGAGGTTTAAGGAAGGAAACTGTCTCTACAACACAAAACTGCAAGGTGAAGCAGCACGGTGATGGTGAAGCAGCACGGTGATGGAGAAGCAGGTGATGGAGAAGCTTCAATAAGTTATCCAGAAGAGCTAGCTAAGATCATTCATCAACGTGACTACAGTAAGTAACAGATTTTTCAGTGTAGACAACATCCTTCTTTTGGTAGAAGATGCCAGCTAGGACTTTCATAGCTACAGAGGAGAAGTCAATGCCTGGCCACAGAGCTTCAAAATACTGACTGACTTTTAATAGGGGCTAATGCAGCAGGGGAATTTCTGTTGAATCCAATGGTCATTTACCATTCTTCAAATCTGGAGCCCTTAAGAATGATGCTTAATCTACTCAGCCTGTGCTCTATAAATGGGACAGTAAACCCTGGAAGACAGCACATCTGCTTACATCATGGCTTACTGAATATTTTAAGTTCCCTGTTGAGAGCTACTGCTCAGACAAAGATTCTATAGAATGGGTCACTTGGAGGTATCATGATGCCATTCTAAGTCTTCGGCAATTTCATGGTGGATATTTCTTGGAGAAATTCACATAATACCGGTTTGAAGTCATCTGGTGCCTCCAAGCAGTGGTCTTGAGAGCTTTGGGGATTATTTGAGTGAAGAAAGCAAGTAGAATTTTTCCATTCTTCTTTTTCCAAAATCAGGGACTGAATTTTGATATATTATAATGACCATTTGAATCCTTCCAGAGATTTATTCCTTGAAGTTTAGATACAATCATAATCTTGGTTAGAGCAGCTTATTTGCTATAATAGTCTGCTAGAACAACCCTTTTCCTTCCATATTCTCTCTTTTAATGTGGCTTCAGTATTTATAGTAACCACCCTCTACGGAGTAGGAATACATCTAAAAGTTCCTTTACTTGCTATTATGATGCTTGTTTCTAAAGCATCCTCAAATCACATACTGTTCCAAAAGCAGACCTGCTGTGTGTATGTACGTTGACTCGTTGACTCGTTTACTCTCTGGTCTTTGGCTAGTTCACAAGCTCGAGTAAGTGCTATTAAGTTCTGCCACCTCAGCTGATTCTACCTCGGGTAGAGGGCTATATTCTGAAGAGCTTGGTTAGTGATGGCATATCCTGCTTTTTAACCTTCAATTTCAGTTTTGAGGTATGATCCATCAGTACACAAAATTAGGCAGGGTTCTCAATAGCAGTCTCTAATAAATCTAAGTGAGACAAGAAGTTCCTTACCTGAGATAAATGGATCCTGAGGCTCCCCTTCTTCTGCACTGAGCTGGAGAAGGGCAGGATTCAGGATGCTTCCGTGGTGAACAATACATGAGATGGAGAGAGTAAGAGAGTTCTATAAGGGACTGGTTGATGGGCTGGAAAGTGTCGTGTGTTCTCAGTCAGTAGCAATGTCTTACTGCGTGAGGAACCATGAATCAAGCAAGGAACCTAGAACCAGTTTAGTAGACATTTCAGAAATTTTTACAGCAACAGCTATTGCACAAAGGAAATGAAGTCAAGGGAAAGGCTATAGTAAGGACGGGTTTTTGATGGTTTCCATGAAGTTGAATGAAAACCCCAAGGGCTTGTCCAGTTTGCCACGCACAAATAGGTAAAATGACTTGGTATAGTTCGGGAAGCCTAGGAGGATGTAAGCTATTGAAGAACCGTATTTGGGTGACAGAAGTCTTGTTCATATTTGAATTGTGATTCTGAAATCTTGTTGGACCAACTCCCTGGAATTCTTCTGGCAATGGAAAGGTGCCAAAAGAATCACTACATTTGTGCAGCCAAACCCAACAACTTGGTGGGACTCACCTGACAAACCATCCCATCAGGCACCTTGAGGGCAGGCCCTGTAATTTACCTCTGCATTCCACTGTTGAATGAATGAATGAACAAGTTCAAAATTGGCCATTGTGGGCACCCACTCAGATGCACAGATTTGATATGAAGGTTATTATAAACGGAAGATATCTGAGCCTCAGCAGATGCTGAAAGAAGCTTTTTTGGAGCTTCCCTTATCTGAGTAAATGCAGAATCTTCTGAGAGCAAAGCTGCTATAAATAAATCCCCTCTCAGGGGAGGTTTATAGTCAGGAAGAAAACAGACACTTGCACTTGAATAGACACACATTATCACAAACTATTTTACATCTTATTAGTTCCCTAAAAGCTCATTTTTCTTTTCTCAAAAAAAAAAAAGCGCCATTTTTTTACCATATAGTCTGTACTTGTCCCAATCCCATGCCACCTCCATCTTTCCCCTATTAAGCTGGTGTATAAGCCTTTATCCCTAGCTGTTCAGGGAACCACTTCTTTTGTGCTCCTCCATATGCATATGAATAAATTTTGTCAGTTCTTCTGTTAACCTGTCTTTTGTCAGTTAATTTGCAGACTCCTTGACTTTAGCATAAGTAGGTAGATGAAAAGTTTTCCTTGCAACACTACTGAGGAGGATATGAATACCACCTACACACTAAGAGAGAAACAAAACATGGGTGGAGAGTCAGGTGGTGGGCAAACTACGGGAACATGAAACTAAAGGATTATGCCACACCACGCCTTCCTTAACATCACTTCCACTTCCAAATTTATATGCATGAGGAAATAATGTTGACTTTACCAAAGATAGTTTGAATATCATGTGGCAAAACAATTTTAAGTTTCCCCCTTAGTGGAGAGGGTATAGCTCAGTGGTAGAGTGGGTGCTTAACTGCACCAGGTCCTGGGGTCATTCCCAAGCACCTCCACTGGGAAAAAAAAAAAAACCTAAGTACCTCCACCCACCAAAAAACCAAAATTTTAAATTCCCCCTTATAGAATTCTCTTCTTCCCACCAAGTTACCTCTCTTCTCTCTTTCCCCTCCCGTTCCCGCTCCTGGGCTTTCAAACTGCCTGCTCTTTTTACCTCTGGATTTTAGCAGAACAAAAGCCTGGTAGTTACTTGACTCCGCCTCCTGGAGAAAGCAAATCAGAGATCACCAAGTGTTATTTAAACAGGGTGTTTGGGAGGATCTTAACCACACCCCATGTGAACAATATTAAGAACTAACATTTATGGATGCTTTCTAAGCACTGCTCCAAGCCCTCTGCATCTTATCTTACTTTGTGTTAGCAATAGATCTAAGAGGACCATGTTATTATCATAACCATTTTAAAGAGGAGGAAACTTGCCCAGCTCTTAAGATGCTAAACCAGAATTTGGACTGAGAGAGTGTAAACCTAGAGCATGGAGAGATATTTTGATAATTCTCACTCCAGGGGGATTAAAATTATGTGTATATATATACACACACACACACACACACACACATATCTGAATATATATACATATATCTGAATCACTTTGCTATACACCTGAAACTAACACAATATTGTAAATCAATGGTATTTTTAAAATAAATAAAAATAAAATTGTCCTCCAGCAAACAAAGGCTCTATACTGGAGGGAATTACACTGCTAAGAAATATAATGTTCTCCATTTCTTCTCTAAAGGGGATTTTGCATTTTGACTTATCTTTAGTTCCTCTACTCCATTCTGACTAGTGGGGTGAGAGGTCACTGTAGATGCGAAAACCACACACTCTCCTCTAATAGCGCAGGAGCATTGAAGTGGCCAGAACTGGGTTAGAACGCAGAGGCGTCCTTCTCTGTGTTCTTGTACTCTCCCGCTTCTTCTCCAGATCTGGGACGCCTTCCAGCCGGGAGCAGCTGGCCGCCTCTCCCTGGTTTCCCTGGGAGAGATGTGGAATTCCTGCCTAAGCAGCTCCAGGTGGGAGAGAGAGCAGGTCCATTCCCCTCCCTCTCCCTTGACCACACGCGCCCTTTGCTAACCTCCAAGGGCTACTTGGTGAAAGTGGCTCCCAAGGAGACAAGTAGGGCTCGGGTGAGGTTCGGGCATCACTGCTATAGGGGCTTTCTCTGCTTCCTGTGGAAAGAAAGGCTCTCATAGGCAAAGGCTCACTCCGTGTAGTAGCCCTGAAAAGAGGGTGACCTGTGTAATTCCCCACCCCTTCCGCACATTATCCTTGCTCTCCTGTGGACCGGGGCCAAGATGCTCCTCCCACCCTTCTCTTCTCAGAAGCCAAGCCCCTTTTCAGTCCATGTATAAAGTCCACTCTCCCGGGATCGCGTGTTGCAGACACTGCCTTCCACGTTCTCTCAGAGACCGAGCTAGAGACCCAGGTAAGCAAACCAAGAGGTGGTCTCAGGTGCTGCTTCTGCAGGGTTGGAGAGGAGGGAAGCAGAGTGGGTGAGGGCAGCCCGAGAAAGCTTGAGACAGGCAAACATCAGCTGGGGCACAGCTGGGGTCATGCATGGGGCATGCAGGCTGCTCGGACCCATGGGGCTAGGGAAGGAGAAGTCCCCCAGTTTGAGGAAGGAGAGCTTCTTCCTTTGGGATTCAGTGGCTTCCCTTTATGTGCCAGCATCAGGCAGTGGGGCGGAGTTTCCCTTGTGTTGTAGGACAGCGGGGCTGTCAGCCCTGGTCCTGGATGAATACTGCGTGGTATCTCAGGTATACAATTTGGCTTATTCAAAATTTGGCTCATTTATTTCATGATTTATTCAAAAGCATCTTCTAATGAGCCACATGAGCACTGGGTACAAAAGTAAGAAAGGTGTTTTATTTTTCAAATGTATTATATCAAAAGTACTTCTGTATTCAAAGTTAGGACTGCTAGGATTTTTGGTCATTTCTGGGGTCACTACCCAGAAGGGAGGATGGCCTCTGTGTAAGGAGTGGGAGTCAAATGCTCATGAAGAATTGTATATGTGAGTGTCTCATTACTTGGAAGAACTCACTGGGAGAGGGATATCTTTCTGGTTAACCTGTGGGAGGTGGTAAGCCAGGGAGGCTACAGGTGAGAGCTGGGGTTCTCTGGTGATGCTTCCTCCCACCGCATTTCCCAGGTAGGCTCCCCCAGGAGTGTGAGGCAACCATGGTTCAGAAGTTCCAGCTCCTGTTCCTGCTGGTGGTGTTGGGGTGGGTCCAGCCTTCCCTGGGCTCGGAAACGGCGGCCGAGAAGTTTGAGCGGCAGCACATGGACAGCGACGGCTCCTCCAGCAGCAACTCCAACTACTGCAACCAAATGATGAAGCGTCGTGAAATGACAGGTGGATATTGCAAGCCAGTGAACACCTTTATTCATGAGTCCCTGGAAGATGTGCAGGCCGTCTGCTCCCAGGAAAGCGTCACCTGCAAAAATGGGCAGACCAACTGCCACCAGAGCACATCCACCATGCACATCACAGACTGCCGTGAAACGGGCAGTTCCAAGTACCCCAACTGTGCATACAAGGCCAGCAATCTGCAGAAACACATCATCATAGCCTGTGAGGGGAACCCGTACGTGCCAGTCCACTTCGACGCTTCGGTGTAGCTGTCCATCTGAGGCCGGAGCAGCAAGATATCCCATTTGATCATGAAGGCATCTGTCTCTCCTTTCTTGCTTCCTTGCCCTCAGAGCAACTACGCAGCACGCACACACGCTTCCCTGGCCTCACATTGCCCCTGCGTGGTTTAGGGGTAGAGGGGTGGCTTGTGAGTTGGGGCCCATGTTACCCACTTCACTACTTCTTTCAATAAAACACAGCTGCAGTCACCTGAATTCCTGGTGCGGTCGCCATCTGGGAACTAACTGTATGTGTGATCACTTCCTGCCAGGGCTGAGAACCGTGACTCTCAGTAGCTTTGGTGAGAGGCGAATGGAGTCCTTAAATGCCACCTCTTCTGACTCTTGGGCTTTTTTTTGTTACTTTTTAAATTTTGCGTTGAAGTGTAGTTCACTTAAAAAGTTTGTTTCACAGCAAAGTGATTCAATTATACATATAAACGTACATGTATATTTTTTCGTTACAGATTCTTTCCCACTATATATATTATTACAAGGTGTTGAATATACTTCCCTGTGCTACAACGTAGGTCCTTGTCATTTATCTATTTTATGGACTCTTGTTTTTTTAGTGAACTGAGATCATTCCTTTCCCTGTAGGTCCCTTGATGCCCAATTATTGTTTTAAGGCATGAGTTATTTTAGATAAAAAGGGAGCTACAGTCTGGGATACTGCCATGCTGGGTGAGCTGACAAAGGGTGAAGCTCAGACAG